TACTCACATTACATACACTACTAGTGTGACAACATAAACTACCTAAGTACCAAGCTTACAATACAAACATATAATTATAGAAAAAACAGTACAGAAACACAGATATTATAATACAAACAGATACTTCTAGCAAAAACAGTACAGAAACACAGATAATACAATACCAACATCGAAGTTGATCCATCACTTGGTTAGGAAGCAAAAGCTATCAGCACAAAATTGAGGATCCAATTTGAAAGCTGCACCTAACTAATTCCTAAGTCACACCACCAAAAGCACCACAGCACTCTGAAAAGAGCATGACAAAAAATGCACTCTTCTCAGTTTTCACAATTCGAATTCATCTCCTTCCATCTTCAACATTTCAGCAGCAGCCTCTTCTTCCTCATCATCAATAGCAAAGTATGGATTACACGACTTTGGCCTGAAATTATACCCCGTAAACAGATAAAACGCAAGGGTACCCAATTCACCTGCGACCACACTAGTCCACTGATACCGGTAATTCGTGATGGTCTCCAACCCATAAACAATCACCCTTGTAAAATAGATATAACAAATCACCACAACATAGTAATGCCTAAACAACGTCAACTTCATCAAGTTAACCGCGGCCTTCCCATCAGTCGTAGCAGCCTCCCTAAGGTTCCTAATCGACCAAACGATGGGAAACAACACGGCACAACAACAAACAATATCGACGAACAAAAACACTTGCATCCAAGCGTATGACTCCCCACCATACGGCCCGGTCTCATCAATGACAACCTGAGCTACATTAGCAACTACTTGAAGTGGGATCACAATCATTAAAACCTTCTTCTCCTTATCTTGTAAAAAGGGTTTCAAAAACGACCAACCAGTTCCAATTAACACAATCAAAGTAAACAAAGTAATACCCTTTAAAAAGCTAAAAATGTAGAACAGAACATCCCAACCATGAGCACTTCCAGTTTTTTTAATATAAGATTTATCTTCAGCTTCACACAACAAATTCAATCCTTTCAATACAAGAACAGCAAGCATAAAGTAATGAATTCGATAAATAACTTCTCTTTTCGAGAAAAGGGTGTAAACCCAGATCAAAATTAGGGCGAAATAAATCAGGGCAAAATTGAAGTAAATTGAGGGAAGATTAGACTTACCTGCTGAAAGATAATCACGAATTAACGACGATTTACCTTCTAAATTATACATAGAGGAATGAACATCCATTGAAACATGAAGATTAGGGATACAATTAGCGAAAACTAGGGTATAAAGATTGGGGTCGGATATTTGAAGAGAGACATTAAAATGGGTAAGTCCGCCATTGTTGAGACGATCAAAGGAAAAAACGGGTTTAATAAGATCCGATTGAAGGGCACAAACGATGTCGTTTTGATTGAGTTGATCGACGACATGGTACCAAGAATCGCGAGTAGAGAGGAAGAATCCGACAAGGGAGAGATCGTTGGAGTTGGGTTTAGGGTTCGTGGGAAGGGTAGTTTGGTCATTTTGATGGAGTCGGAGAGAGAGGAGGGTGACGTTGAGGTCGAGTTTTCCGGTGTGAGTGAACCCGAATTCGTCGAATGGGATGATGGGTCGTGAGTCGGATCGGATCTCGGCGAATCGGATTTCGGCGAGGGTAAGGGTTAGGGTTAGGAGGAGAGAGAAAGTGAGAAGGATGAGAGTGCGAGGTGAGGAAATCGCCATTGTTGTGAGAAGAGAAGCTCACTGCAACAACAGTGGTTGAGCTTAGTAGAGTCGTAGTCGTGGAGATTTTTTCTGTTGTTTTATTTTGGGAAATTTCCAGGTATTGACTTTTCTCAGCGGTACCACATTTTTTTTTTGACTTCCTGCTGATACACTTGAGGTTTTGACTTTATAATTGACGTGATTAAGTCTGTTAATATGACGTTAATAACTTAGTAATTCTAGGTTAAAAGCTGAGATTAGGTGAAAAGACTAAAATGCCCCCTTTTAATCCTTCCCTCCATCACCCATAATTAAACCCCTTCCCCTTCCATTTATGTCGATTTGACACAAAACAAACTCCTTGTTCAAATTTCATCTCTCTCTCCTCTGCTCTCTGCATCATTCACGACGAAGTCCAAGGGTTTTGCAAGGGAATTGCGCTGATCTTTTTGGTCTACAAAATCATTAGAGGATAATCTAGCACAATTCAGGTACTTTAGCACTACTACTGTTCATTTTTGCATGAGTTGGTGCAGTTGTGATGTTCTTTTTTCTTTGCGATTTTAAGTTAAATTCATGATGTAAATGTTGTATATTTGTGCGATTTTAGGATTTTTTTCAGGTATATTAGGTGCGTGATTATGTGTGTTCAATTATTTATGTAGAGTATGTATTTAATTTGGATGAAATGGCATGATCCTGTTTCATTGATTTACTTGAATTGGAATGTATTTGCTTATTTGATTGATTGTTGGATACCTGAATTGGGATTTATGTGCATGTTATAGGTAATTGGATACCTGATTTGGAATTTATTTGAATGTTGTGGATTGTTGGATATGATTTTGAATTTATATGCATGTTGTAAGTGTGTATACTGTTTACCTTCTTTTGCAGAATGGGTGATGTTGTGTTAAGGTTTTATTACTTTGATAAGCATGTTGATCTTGCTGTTGACTTAGATAGATGTAATTTGCTTGATTTGGTTATGGATTTTGAGGACACTGCTGCAGTAGACTCTGAGTTTCCTATAGTCAACCCATCATTTGGTTATGGTTTCAATGAAAAGAATCACCCTTTACTAGATGATGCTGATCTTTTTAAGATGATTCACACCCTAGGTGAATGTGAGATTTATCACATTTGGGTAGGTTTTGCTAAGAAACCAAGTGCCTTGAATAGAATGACCAATAGGCTAAGGAACAAGTCCAAATCTGCACAACCTTTTGCTGCACCTTCCCAATCTGAACCACCCCATATTGATCAACCTTCTGATACTGCACCCTCAAATGAACAACCCCCTCAAATTGAAACAGATCAACTTGTTCCTGAAACTGAACCTCCCCTTTTTGACCCTTCCCAAACTGAACCTCCCCTTTCTATTGAGGATATCAATCTTAATAATGAGTCCTCTCCACCTAGGTATACTGACGGTTATGAGTCACCCCAAGATGAAACAAATCAATCTGCTACTGAGTATACCAAGGGTAGAAAAGAGTTTGAGAAAAGTATGGAAAAGATAGAGAATTCTAGGAAGGTTAAGGGTGCAGCAAAGGGTAAGAAGAAAGCTACAACTAAAACATCCCCAATGCAACCACCATCTCCCAAGTCTCCAAACACAGTCTTCAAGGGTTTACCACTTAGAAGGAGTCCTAGATTTTCACCTTTGGCAGTAACTGACACACCTAATGCTTATGATGCTGACCCATTGACAAATGCTTCACAAACAACTATGTTTAGGAAAAATGTCCCTAGATCAACAGCTATAAGAAAGGGGTTAGTGAAAGGATCAACTGTGACTGAGAAAAGGATGCTAGGTGTTGGTGACAGAGTGAGTCAGCTGCAAGGATCAGTTTCTAGGGTTGATGTAAATATGAGTGAGGGCAGTAGTGCTGGGGACAATGTGGGTGAGGTGCAAGGCACAAGTGATTCTAGAGTTAGAAGAAAGATGACTTTTGTTGTAGACAGCTCTGAGTCTGTAGGGACACAACCCAATCTTGGTTTCAATCTTGGTGAAGAAGATGAGGATTCTGATGGAGATGTTGCACCAAAGGGTTCTATTCCAGCAGATGAGCTAGCACAAGTAACTAGGATTCCAAAAGTGAAGGACAGTTGGAAACCATCAAAATGGTTTGATTTTTTTGATGATGAAGATGATGAGGATTATTTTCAGAGATTGTACAAGAATGGTGAGATGTATGAGGATGCTGACTTTGGTAAAATAACACTCAGACCTTGGATGATTTTTACTGACAAGGCTCACTTCAAGGACACTCTGAAAGATTTTGCTGTTCAAGAAAGGTTTGCCATCAATGTAGAGTATGCTGACAACAAGAGATACAGTGCAGTTTGCCAATCTGAATGCTGTGATTGGAGATTGCATGCCAGCAGACTGGCAGATGGCAGAACATGGGCAATCAAGAAAATATGGCCCAATATACACACTTGCAGGGGCTTAGAGACTTACAACCCCATCTGCAATGTGAAATGGGCATCTCAGAAAGTCATGGAAGACATCAGGGCTAACCCAGACATTCCTGGGAAAGCACTCAATGAACTCCTTTTTCAGAGATATGGCATCTACATGAGGCAGTCAACCTTGTACAGGTTAAAGAGCTATGTGATTGAGCAGTTGTTTGGAGGGCATGATGAGTCATATAGACTACTGCCAATGTATGCTAAGATGTGCATAGAAACAAACCCAGAGTCCAAGGCTTTTTGTGCATGGAATGAAACAGAGTCTATCCCTAAACAACTTCAATTTTCAAGCCTTTTTATATCATTCACTAGACAATGGAAAGGTCTTTTAAGGGGTGTTAGACCTTTAATTGGTGTAGATGGAACCCACCTCAAAGGTAACTATGGGGGGGTATTGCTCTCTGCTGTGGGAATAGATGGCAATAATGAGATCTTCCCCATAGCATATGCTGTAGTTGGCCAAGAAGACAAGCAGTCATGGACCTACTTCTTTTGGCATTTGCTGAACATTGTAAAAGATTCATCAAGAGAGCATTGGACTATTATTTCTGATAGGAAAAAGGCAAGTGTTTGTTGCTTTTTTCAAATTTTCATTCTCTTTTTTTTTTTATATGCAAACATACAAATGCTCATGATGTAATCATTGTTTCAGGGAGTTGAACTTGCACTAGAACAAGTATGGCCAAAAGCTGACAGGAGGTTCTGCTGTAGGCATCTAAGTAGAAACTACAAGAAGCTATTTCCAGGCCCTATGATGTATGTTCTATTCTGGAGAGCATGCAATGCTTCTTCAACTTTCATATTCAGGAAAGCTATGGAGAAGTTGCAGAAAGCAGGAGGAGATGATGTCATGACTTTGTTTGCAGAATTGGGAGAGAAGTCTAAGTGGAGTAAGCATGCATTTGACCCAAATGTTTGCAATGACTCCAATACATCCAATTTTGTAGAGAGCTTCAACTCTACTCTAGGGGTGAATAGGTGTAGGCCTATTTTGACTTTGCTAGAAGGTATTAACCCACCTCTTACTGTATTAACATTGTCATTTTATTTTGATTTGGTTTGTTTTTCTAAGATAATGTTGTGCAGGAATAAGGAGGGTATGTATGGTTAGAATAGCAACAAGAATGAAGAATGCAAAGTCTTGGAATGATGAAGAAATAACTCCAAAAATTGTGAAGCTAGTGAAAGAAATAGGAAAATCTAGCTCAAAATGCAGAGTATTCAAGTCCAGCCCAGGTGAATATGAAATTCATGAGGGAAGATCACAATTTCCTCTCAGCTTAAACAAGAAAGTTTGTTCTTGTGGGGCATGGCAACTGACAGGTGTGCCTTGTAGGCATGCCATTAGGGCTTGCATTGATGCCAAGTTGGACCCACATGACTTTGTCAGTTCCTGGTACTCTGTGAAGACTTATAAGCAAGCTTACAGTGTCTGTATCAACCCAATTCCTGACACAGAGCAATGGCCTGCAGATGAGTCAGGTAGAATCATCATGCCTCCTAAGATGAAGAGGGGAATTGGAAGACCAAGCAGGAACAGAAAGAGGGAAGAAGGTGAGGAGCAACCTGGAAAAAGGTCAAAAAACAGTGAAATGCAGCAAATGTGGTTGCTTTGGGCATAATAAGACAACCTGCAAGGGAGGCTTAACAGGAAAAGAGTTGAAGACAAATGAGCCTGTTGTCATCAGAACCCTAGGGTCAGAGACCAAAGTAATGCAGCAAAGGCAGCTAAGGCAGCAAAGCAATCTGAAGCACTTGGATCTCAGTCTGCAGCAACTCAACCTTCAGCATCTCAAGCAGCAGCTTCAACCAAAAAAACTAAGGGAAAGAAGGGCAGACCCTCAGCTGAGCAACAAACAGTGCTGACAGCCTCACAGTTGCCTAGCCAACCAATCCAGATGTCTCAAGGAAACTCTCAAAGCTAGCAAGTGTTCTGTTTTGCAAAGTAGTAGCAAATGCTTTTTTTTGGTGATTTGGATAGAAAGTCAAAATTTGTAGTCAACTCTATATGTTTTGAATTTTTTTGCTGAACTTACATGGTAATGTTGAAGAATTATGCCATTTTGTCTATATTAAGAATGGTGGCCACATTTTGAATGATTTTCCAGACTTTAATGAATGTTGGCAACTGATGCCATTTTGTTTAGCTTGTTAATTTTAGTTGATCTCAATGATTGATTCATTCAAAACCAAGAAAATACAACCTTACTCAATCAAAATGCAAATTATTTTTTCATTTTCATTCAAAACCAAGAAAATACAACCTTACTTTTATAATTTTTTCCTAGTACACTTAGTCTCTGAAGTACATGGCAACTAAATACACAATGCTCATTTCAGGGTTACAAACAGTAAAATAAGATACATCACAAGAGCAATTCTAATAACCATATAAACATAGCTTGCAAACTCATATGCTTTGTCTGTGAAATCAATAAATTCCTCTCTTAATACTCTCAAATTGGATGATTCTTCATGATTGGCTATAATTTGATCTTCAGGAACCCACATGAACAAACCACAATGCCTGCACTTGTAATATGACCTCCCTGGATTCGAAATTGAGTCAGACACCCTAATATCAGCAAGTCTTGGTGGATTACAATTGCATTGAATTCGTCTCACCCACATGGACCTCCCAAATCTGCTGCCAGAAGAGGAATCACTGCCTGCAGAACCAGCCATGTCAGAACAGCAGGGACCAACAGAAATAAAAAGAAAAGAGGAAGAAGTGAGCTCGAAAAAATGGAGGGGAAATTTTATGGAGAATAGAAGAGGGAAAGTGGGGTTTTATAGGGAGAGAATAAGGGTTGGGAAGTTGGAGGGAAATAACAGCAACATTAAGGGGGAAATTTTGGAGGGAAATGATTAAAAAAATGGGGGTATATTAGTCATTTCATCTATTACTACGCCTAAAATGTGAATAAAATAAGTTATTAACGTCTTATTAACAGACTTAATCACGTCAATTATAAAGTCAAAACCTCAAGTGTATCAGCAGGAAGTCAAAAAAAAAATGTGGTACCGCTGAGAAAAGTCAATACCTGGAGTGTATCAATGAGAATTTCCCTTTTATTTTTGCCGTGGGAAATAATTAGTGGTCAAGCTCCAATTTTGGTCAAATTACTCAATAGTCAAATGCAATCACTATTTAATAGAGCTGTCAATTCGGGTATACGGGTCGGGTAAGAGTGGGTCGGGTCAACTCGGTTCGGGTCAATTCAGATTAATTCCATAACCTATGCGGGTCGGGTTTGGGGTGGGTCATGCTTGAGTTGGATCACATCGGGTCATACTTCTTATCGGGTTTGGGTCGGGTTTAAGCCGGGTTAATAACAGGTCGGGTTACATTCGGGTCAGGTGAACAATAGGTCGGGTATAATGCGGGTTTTCACGGGTTAGGGTAATTCTCGGGTTCGAGTCGGGTTCGATTCAAGTCAATAATTTGCGAGTTAGAATCAGGTCGGGTCATTCTCGGGTTTGAGTCGGGTTCGGTTCAAGTTAATAATTTCCGGATTATAATCAGGTCGGGTCATTTTCAAGTCGGGTCATTCTCGGGTTGAAGTCGGGTTCGGTTCAAGTCAATAATTTGCGGGTTATAATCAGGTTGGGTCATTTCCAAGTTGGGTCATTCTTGGAGTCAAGTCGGGTTATGTTTAAGTCAATAATTGGAGGTTACAATCAGGTCGGGTCATTTCCAAGTGAGGTCATATTCGGGTTCAACTAACTATAAATAGATAATTCTCATTTTTATCAAGCTAATTATTTCCTTTGACTATAATATATATGGCAATATACTAGTAAACTATAGTCTATAGTTTACTAGTATATTGCCATATATATTATAGTCAAAGGAAATAATTAGCTTGATAAAAATGAGAATTATCTATTTATAGTTAGTTGAACCCGAATATGACCTCACTTGGAAATGACCCGAGCTGATTGTAACCTGCAAATTATTGACTTAAACATAACCCGACTTGACTCCGAGAATGACCCAACTTGGAAATGACCCAACCTGATTATAACCCGCAAATTATTGACTTGAACCGAACCCGACTTCAACCCGAGAATGACCCTACTTGAAAATGACCCGACCTGATTATAATCCGCAAATTATTGACTTGAATCTAACCCGACTCAAACCCGAGAATGACCTGATCTGATTCTAACCCGCAAATTATTGACTTGAATCGAACCCGGCCCAAACCCGAGAATTACCCAAACCCGTTTTAACCCTTGAAAACCCGAATTAAACCCGACCTATTGATAATTATCTCCTTTGACCATACAACAAATATATACTATATTTAACTCTAAAATTTGAGGATGATATAATGATCATATATGGTTCCAAACGGCATTATATGACCCGAGATATAACTCTAAAATTTGAGGATGATATAATGATCATATATGGTTCCAAACGACATTATATGACCCCGAGATATAAATCTAAAATTTGAGGATGATATAATGATCATTATGCCGTTTGGAACCATATATGATCATTATATGTTGCCATAAATGTTCGTAATAGGCTTGAGTTAATGAAATCCGTGCAAGTTGTAAACCGGTAATTAAATTGGCCGTTTAAAGGAAAATTTGATAATTCCACCCACCCAATTGGACTCCCAAAGGGTATTAGGGACCATGGTAAACATTTCCGCAATTTTTATTTCCGGGCGAAAAAAATAAAAAAAAATTCCAAAATGAAAGGCTAATATCCACGCTTTTTGAGAAAATTTGAAGGTTTCGGGGCCCGGTGTCAAGTCTTGAAATTTTAGAGGATACATCTCGGGGTCATATAATGATGTTTGGAACCATACATGATCATTATTTGTTGTCATAAATGAAAGGAATGGTGTCCTTCGAACAAGTGTACTATTCCGTTAGTGGGTTCAGAATTATTAGAAAGCTAATATATTCAGTGAGGTCAAGTGATCGGAATGCCTGGGTGGAGGCCGCTTCCGATCAGTAATATTAATGAATAATTAATATTACAGCTTAAGCTTGACTGAACCCTTCGGGTCTCACCCAAGCATTCAACAAACCGAACCGACGAATTAATTCGGAAGAAATTAATGAGTCGACCGAGTAATATTTATTTAGACGTCGCAAATTTGAGCTTAGAGCGTTGAAATCGAGCGTCGGAAGTCGAGTCGAAAAATAGTGAAAGACGAGACGAGAAATAGTAATAAATCAACAAAAGACCAAAATACCCCTAGGCTCGGCTTGGTGCGCATGCTAGCCACCATGCTAGCATCGCAAGGCTAGGCGCTGCCTAGTGCGTGCTAGCATGCTAGGCACAACCTTGTGTTCGCAATGGCTAGCAAGCCATGCCGCAACAAGCTGCAGCAGCTAGCACGCTAGGCGCGCCAGCTCGCCACAGCTAGCAGCAGCATGGCTAGGCCATTGCTTGCTGCCTAGCAGCGCTGGCCAAGGCACAAGGCCAGCAGCAGCCCGCACAAGCATGCTGGGCTTGCTGGCCAGCAGCGCCTGGCAGCCCGCATGCGAGTGCTGGGCCTGCTGGGCTTGCTGGGCGTGGCTGCCACGGACAACAGCACATGGCAGCCCACCTTGGCTGCCTTGGTGCCCAAGGGTGGGTGTCATGTGGCTTGTGGTCCTTGAGTGTGTGTGGAGTGAGGTGGCCGGTTATGGGAGAGGGAGTGGGGAGCAAGTTTGGTCCCCCCCTTCTCTAAGTGGTCCTCACCTAACCACACACATGAGCTTGCCACTTGTTGATTTATTACTAGCTTGATTATTAATTTTATTTTAGCTTTAAAATAAAATGGAAAAATCATACTATCCCACATTGATGGGAGAGTAAATGATACTCCCATCATTTCTTATAAATACCCAACTATGGGCATTGGGAATGTTGCTTGAGTAAGAGTTGAAAAAGGCATCACAATTAGTGAAAACCTTTGAACTCAATATAATTACTCGGGTTTTATTGGTCGGGTCTTGCTAACCCCAAGACATTGGACCTAGTCGGTTTTGTTGGTGCGGGTGGACTTCGTTGGAGGTCTCCGCGTGAGCGGGACTTGAAGCTTTCAACTAAGAGCTCATTTTGGAGCGAAGCACGCGTCAAAGGTAATTAGCTTGTCTTAATCTTGTGATTAATTTAATTATGTTTATGGTTTTATTTATTGCGAGTGCGGTCTTGTTTTTGGGTTTGTTTCCGCGGTGAGTCGGACTCACCAAACCCCAACAGCGGTATCGGAGCCTCGCTCGTTTATTTTTTAAAATCATAATATTTTCAAGGTGTTTTTATGGCTTAATTTTTCTGGTTTTAAGTTGCTAATTAGATTAGTAACTCGTTTTCCCAATTTTTACCTCGTATTAGAGTTGTCTTCAGCTCCCGAACCCAGATTTGGACCCAAAAATAGTGAATTTTGGGTGGAAAAGACGTTTTGGGGTTTGGTGAGTCCGACTCACCGCGGAAACAAACCCAAAAACAGAGACGCCCTTTCAGGGCTCTGTTTTTAGCCAAAAAACGACCGGAAATGCATTTTTCAAGGGATTTTTCGTTTTGACGAAAAATTTTAAGTCTTTCTAACCTTGAAAATTGATTGCATATTTATGGTGATTATGAATTTGTTCTTTCCTTTATTTATATGCAATTTTAGACCACTTTAAGCATGATTACTTGGTAGTAATTGGTGCTTGAAAGTTTGGTTTTATTTTTTCACATAATTGCAAATTAATTGCATTAAGTGTGAAATTGTTGTTCTTTGTTGCTTCCAAGTACTAAAGATTCAATCTTTATTTATGATAAGTGATTGAAACTTTGAGTTACTGAATTCCATGAATTTTGGTTAAACTTTGTTGATTTAATCATTTTTTAGTTGATTGGAATCATAAAGTTTAAAACTTGTGATTGAAATTGGTTTATCTTCATATTGGAAGATATAATTTATTCATGGAGTCACAAGTATTAAAGTTGGAG